TCCTTGAGAGGGCAGTTTGATTTTGACTGCTACATGTGAGGTCATACAAAATATATTTCCTTGTTAGCCTTGTTGTGAAGGAAAACACCAACAAAATAAAATAATAAAGTTTTTTAAAAAACAATCAGGAAAGGTCAGCAAAAATAACTGAGTAATATGCCTATTTTTGCATTTCTACTTGGACAGAATTGGACAGGGATAAGTTCAGTTCTGTTCTCCATAAAGGAAGGCATTGGGAGGAGTTTGGTACCCCACCCCACAGCCCTCCAGTCAGAGGGATGAAGGCTGAGGGAGGTGGTATGCAGGTTTGAGTTAGCGGCAGGTGATGAGATTAGGAAGTGATGAGTTTAACCTGGGGACTCAGGTCTCTCAAATTCTTTAAAAATAATTTTTAATTGATGTTTGTTTTACATTGACTAAATTTCCTGTTGTATTCTTTTCCCCAACTAGAGAGCCATCCCATATAACAATAATCTTCAAAGAAGAAGAAAAGAAAAATGTCTTCAAAACCCATTGATACATTTAAAAAAATCTGAAAATATATATATAATGTTCCATATCTTGCTAAGGAGTTGGGGGAGGGGGGCTGGGAGGTATCTTCTCATATTTCTTCTTTGGGGCTATTCTCATTTTATGGTTTTGTGGAATCCTTTTCGTTTTCATTGTCAGTCCAGCAATTTTTGTCATTGGAGGACTTAACCCTTTCAAGCCTAGAACTCCCACCCTAAGGCCTCAATCTTTGGGTTGGGGTTTCTTCACTAAAGCTAGGCCTGGGCCCTAGCCAAGTTTTTCTTCATTCACCTGGGTTTCTCCACTCCAGCTGACGTGATGTTCTTATCACTCCTCCCCCACCACTTTACCAGTCCTGGAATTATAGTCAAATTAAATCGGCTCTTCCTTCTGGAAAGGGTGTGCCAATCTGCTCCTAAAGGCTCCACTCACTATCCTCAAAGCTTTCCTTACTGAAATACCTATCTCTGGCCACCATTTCCTTAAATGTATAGTTTTCCTGTATTGGAATATTAAATTCCTTGAAGGAAGGAGCTGTATTTGTTTTTGCATTCCTAATCCTAGTGCTTAGCACAATGTGTGGCATATAATAAGTGCTTAATAAATCTTAATAAATTCGTTTTCATTCATGCATTCATATGCTCTTTCCCTATCCCTTCTTCTCAGGATCCTCTACTTGATTATATACGGCACAGAGCTGAGAAAGACTTGGAGCACAGAAATGGGGAGGGAGAGTAGGTGATGTGGGAGTGAAGCTATAGGACTGACTAGAAAGGCTTGGTCTCCTTCACTTCTATATTGGGGGTGGGATGGGGAAGAGGTGTGGGGGGAATGGGATGCAGGGGAGAGAAAGGAATATCGAAATCTGAAAAACACATCATGTTTTCTAGAGATTACCCTAAAGAGAGCCAAAAAGACATTTAGTGAATCAAAACTGGGTCAGGAGAGCGGGGCTTTGAGTCATGGACTCTGCCATTTACTTGTGTTATAACTAAGCAAACCACTTTTCTTCTTTGAGTCCCAGTTTCCCCTTTTTTGAATCAAGGGAACTAGACCAAAATGCTCCCCAAGTTCCTTTCTATCTCTGGTGTTCTGTGTGATCGGAAAGAGTCCTGGACCTATAGGCAGGGCACCTGGGTTCAAGTTAATAATAACAATAATAATAGTATTTATTTATGTGGCACTTTAAGGTTTGCAAAGCAATTTCCATACATCATCTCATTTGAGCCTCACAGAAACTTTGTGAGGTAGATAATACAAGTATTATTATTCCCATTTGTCAGGTAAAGAGAGGCTCAGAGGGCTTAAGTGTTACACCACCAGTAAATGTAGGAGGTGAGATTTGAACCCAAATTTTCCAGGTTAGACCAGTTAAGAAGTGAGGACTTGCTGCTCACTCCACTTCGCATCTACTGCTCTGCCTGATTTCAGTTTCTTGTAACAAGATGTCCCAAGCCAGCTACTCTCCTGGTGCCCTCCCTAGCCCACCTTACAGCCTCTTTTTGGTGTTGTGTTTCCCAATTAAATTGTAAGCTCCTTGAGGGCAGGAAATGTCTTTCTTTTTCTTATTTTCTTATTCCCAGCACTTAGCACAGTGCCTGGCACTGTGGTAATAAATGTTCATTGGATTAATATGTTATACTCTTATTTTGACTATTAGAATTGCCTTCTAATTGGTTTGTTTCCAATCATTCTCCATATAGTCTCAGTTTGATACTTCCAGGCCACACACAGGATCATAAATTTAGAACTGAAAGGGGCCGTAGACATGATCTAGTAAGCCCTCTCAATTTACAGATGAGGAACTTGAGACCAGGAAAGGTTAAGTGACTTGCCTGAGGTTACTCAAGTCTTAAGTGACAGAGGCAGGATTTAAACTCAGTTCCTGTGACTCTAGAAGCAGTACTCTTTCCACTGTATTATGCTACCTCCCATACTCCTAAAGCACAGGTTTAAGCATGTTACTCCCCTACTCAAAAATCTGCAATGGCTGTTCATTGGCTGTAGAATAAATGATAATATACTCATCCTGGCACTTAAGACTCTCCAGGAGCTCTCCAGGCTCTTCCTCCCTTTCTAGTATTATTTCACATTACTGCTTTTCAAATGCTCTGTTTCAGTCAAACTGGCCTGCTGGCTCTTCCCCATCTCCTGTTTCTATGCTGTTGAACATGTGGTTCCTCATATCTTTGAAGCACTCCCTTCTCACCTGTGGAGAATCTCTAGTTTCCTTCAAACCAAGAGTCAGGCCCCACCTTTTACAGGATCCCTCCAGTCTGTCTCTCCTGAAATTCCTTTGTATATAATTTGTAGTTGATTGGCAGTGAGGCGTTGTTAATGGAGGATTGGCCTTGGAATCAGAAAGACCTCAGTGTTCTCCCAGCCTTAGCCACAGCTGTGTGTGACTAACCTCTCCATGCCCCCAGCAACTCTCCAAGACTTTGGAAGTTCCTGCACTGAGATCTTCCTACATCAATGAAATAACAGGGCTGCACCTAAAAAATCTCCAAACCCAACCAATCAGACAAACAAAAACCTTTCTTTGGGGTACATTCATCTGTGTGCATGCTTTACCCCCTGTCTGTTCCCAAGAAAACCTAAGCTCCAAGACTCAGCTTAAAAATCCTGCCTTCTGCAGAAGGTCTTTCTCAGGCTGCCCCCTCTGAGATTATCCTCCATTTACTCTGTATGTATCTTGTATGTACATAATTATTTACATGTTGTACCTATGTGAGCTCCTAGAGGCCAAGGACTATGTTTCAATCAAATCAACAAGCATCTTTGTATTGCCTATAAATACGTGCCAGACACCTGCTAAGTTTAGGGTTCCAAAGAAAAGGTAAAACATGCAAACAACTCTGTACAAATCAGAAATATACAGGATAAAGTGGAGATAATCTCAGAGGGAAGATACTAGTAACACTAGCTTCCTCCTGCCTGTATTAAAGGAAGAAATGTATCAGGGATAAAAATTCAGAATGACAGCTAGTTTGAATTTACCCTATCCATTACATTTCACCATAATCCATATTAAAAAAAAAAAGGTCATTTAATCCCTTTCCCTTTCCATATTTTTCCACATCTTTGCTTTCTGTTGATAATCGGATCCTGCCATTTTTATCAGAATTCTGAAGTGCATATACTTTTTATACAATCCAATAGTGACTATACTTGGATCCAGCCAAGTCTGGAGAGGATTTTGAGCCTCTCTACCTGCTATTAGTATTAATCACAGACTGCAAACTACCCAAGGGCAGGGGTCATATTTTATTTAAACTTTGTACCTTCCCCAGGGTATGTGTCTGCTTAGGGGTCTGCACAATGTAGGCACTGAATAAACTTAGAATTGAATTGTAATGATTTGAATTTGAATAGGTTGTCTGTCTAAAGGAAACAAGAATCATCCCCCAACACTACCAAAGGGGCTTTACAACTCCAGGGAGAGAGAGGAGGGTTCCTTCCAACACAGGTAAAATGAGGGAGTTGAACATGAACTTAGTTTTTAAATATATTGATAGATAATAGATAAAGGCGTTTTAACATAACCGGTTTCCTTTGTAATCCTATATGTTTTATGTTATGCATTTAAAAACATTTTGAGAAGGGGTCCATAGACTTCACCTGAGGACCACTAAAGGGGTCCATCACACCTAAAAAAAAAATCTGAATTAGATAAACCCCCAAGGTTTTTCCTTCTCTAGTTTTGCTTCTAAGCTCTCTTCTAGTTCAGTTCAATTAAAAAAATTATTAAGTATCTATAATGTACAAAGAGTGAAGGGAACGGCCCCATAATATTTTGTAGATGGTGCAGTGGAGAGAATGCTTGACCTGGAGTCAGCACAGATCCGAGTTTTATTTTTTTGTTTTGCTTTTTTGGAGGCAACCAGGGTTAAATGACTTGCCCAGGGTCACTTGGCCACTAAATGTCCGAGGGCAAATTTGTACTCGGGTCCTCCTAACTCCAGGGCCCGGGCCGGTGCCTCACGCATTGAGCCACCTAGCTGCCCCCACATCTGAGTTTTAATCAGCCTCAGACATTTAGCTGTGTGACTCTGGGCAAGTCATTTCACCTCTCTGCCTCCGTTTCCTCACTTGTAAAACGGTAATAATAGCCCTAAATCCCAAGGTTGTTGAAATAATATTTGTAAAGTGCTCTGCAGACCTTAAAAAGTTATATAGGCTATTTTTATTGTCGTTGTTCTAACTAGGGGCTTAGGACAAGCATACAGAAAAATGTAATAAAAGGCTGGGTCTACTGAGTTCAAAGGAGAGAAGCAGGAAATTCCAGATCTTTCATTCTTTATCCTATGTTCTAAGTTTTTTCACCACTCGGACATTCTCTGACCCTGTAGGTTCCAGTTTCAGATCTGCCACCAGCGAGCTAGGTGACTTTGGGAAGATACGGCCAGAGTTCTGAATCTCGTTTTCTCCGCGTGTGGGAGGAGGCGGCCGAGCTGGGCCGGGCCGTATTTGAGGGCCCTCCCTGCTGTGACGCTCTCTGAGTGGGAGTGGGATCCGGCTCTTGGACGCAGCTACTCTGAGGATTACGGCAACGGGGCCAGTAGCAGGAACCCGGGAGCCTCATTGAATCAGCCGCTGCTCTCGGCTGGCGGCGGAGCAGCATCCTCTGTTCCGCGCCCGGCAACCGGAGCATTCCCACAACTCGCGGACGCCAGCCCCGCACCATGGCCAAAGAAGGCGCGGAGAAAGCGGAGGAGACGGAGCAGATGATCGCCAAGGAGGGCGGGCCCGAGGCAGCCCAGGGCGGTGGCGGCGGAGGCGGCAGCCCTCGGGCCGCGGACACCAAGGAGATGCGTGCAGTGCTGCTGGCCGGCTTCGGCGGGCTCAGCAAGCTGAGGGTTAGCCGGAGGCCCATGCCCGAGCCCCAGGAGGCCGAGCTCAAGATCCGCGTCAAAGCCTGGTCCAGTATCACCTCTCTTCTGGCCTTCCTCCCAATTCCCGGACCCTTCCCGAACCAACCCCCAGGCAGCCTGATCTGATTGTAGCTGTGTCTGTGGGGAAGGGGTGTGTGTGTGTGTGTGTGTGTGTGTGTGTGTGTGTGTGTGTGTGTGTGTGTGTGTGTGTGTGTGTGTGTGTGTGTACATGCATGCGTGCGCGCTTTCGCGTGTGTCTGCGTGGGAGTTTTGTGTGTGTGTGCGTGCGCGCTTTCGCGTGTGTCTGGGTGTGTGGGTGGGAGAGGTGTGTGTGTGTGTATATGTGTGTGTTGGGGTGGGGGTGGGGGTTGTGAGGTGCCCACAGAGAGGGAGCAACTACCTTTGCTTTTACCCTTAAACAAATCCACCTGGTCTTCATCGCCATCCGTCTCCTCCAATTTTCCACCCCTCCTCTCCCCTCCCCTCCCCTGGGCATAGGAAGACCCTCCCTATTCTGGTGCCAGAAAGTGTGTAAGAGAAGGGAGGAGCTGGTGACACCTCGGGGAATGTTCGCTTAGGAGTCTTCTTGGCACCACAGCCTTCTAATAACGTGAGAAAAGGATGAGCCCTGGGTTGAGGATCAGAGGATCTGGTTTCAAATCCTGTTTCTTTTATTGGTCCTGTGAAAGTTCCTTCCCTTCTCTGGGTCTCAGTTTCCTCTGCTATAAAATGGAAATAATAAAACTCACCTGGGGCTGAATGGAGACCCAAGGAGATTAGGCATGGGTTATGGATTTTGTTAAAGTGCTAGATACTTGAAGGCTATTGTGATTCTGGGGAGAATATTTGGGAAGGGTCTGAAGGGATGCACTGAGATCCAGTACTGCCAAGGTCCAGCCTGAATGAAAAGGAGCCTGGCTTGATTGTATGTGTGTGATGTGCTGGTAGGGGAAGGGAGGTGAGGGAGTGGTACCAATTTGTTCTTCCCTGGTACTATCCCTACTTCTTTTCTAGTGTGACCATTGCTGCAATGGGCTTGGTGTTGTGCAGTAGAAAGAGCAGTGAGTGGTCTTGGAGTGACAAGACCAGGACTGAGTGCACAGCTCTCCATGTGATCTCGAGCAGTTCATCTCCTTTGAACCTCAGTTTCTTCCTCTGTAAAATGAAGATAATAATCTGTGAATGACCTCCCTGACACAATGGTTGTTTCAAATGTGATGTGTAAACATGAAAGCACTCTGGAAATGGGAGTTGCATTATTAGTTGCATGGAAGCCTGCATCCTAACCACCCTTGGAGGCTTCAGCCTAGGGACTTGACTGTCCTCTTTTTCACTCCCAGTCCTCTTTTGGCCACTCCCTAGAGCAGAAAATTGTGGTAGCCCACTTGACAAATGGATGAAATGTTCTCTTCTATGGCTTGGACTCTGTTTTGATATATTATTATTCAAATGATTAATTTAATCCTTTTCTTCTGCTTTTATCTCTTCCAACCCAAATTTTGAACCTTAATTTTTCAGGTTCAAAAAGTGCATTTTCAGCAAATATTTTTTTTATTCTTTATTTACCAAGCCGCTGTGTTCTTAAAATGAATTAATAAAACAGTTAACCCATTCCCATCCAAATGAGAGCCTGTGTGCTCCTATAGCAAGGGGAGAAGGCTTGGGACAGAAGGACAATTCAAACTGATCAACTTCCAGAGAAACTTTCCAGTTAACCAAGTGCCCTGTCACCTGCATCATGCTTCCTTTAAGAGGCAGTGTAGTATGGAGGAGAGCATGTTGGTCCTGGAGTCCTGACTCTGACACTAACTTGCTGTATCACCTTGGACAAGTCATTTCACTTTTCTGACTGAGCCTCAGTTTTCTCATCTATAAAATGGGACTAATAATACATGCACTGGTGTAGCGGAAGGAAGCATAGGTTAAAATCCCAGCTCTGCCATTTAGCCCCCAAGTGACCTTAGGGGACAAAACAGGTACAAATGGGAACAGGAAGAAGGAAAAGGGTAATGTACGTGGATTTCAATTTTCAAATCATAAAAATGAGGTGGTTGTAGACCATGATCTTTAAGGTCCCTTCCAGCTCTAAAGCTATGATTTCCCTTGGTTGCTGGGTAGTGGTGGGGAGAGTGGGGAATCACCTTATAAACCATAGAGACATCAGCTATATTAGCCTCACTGGACCCTTGTGGGGTAGATAGTGAGCCCAGGGAAGTTATGGTGGCAGTGTTAGGTCACAGTGTTAGGTCAATGATTTCTCTCCTGAACCAGAATCTACTTGCTGCAATGATGTACTGAATATCAGGTATTCTAGAGTGAGGAATCACTTCTGTGGAGCTGAGCCCATAGGGGTGGGGTGGGAGAGAGAGAGGATGACTTGTTTTCTAACTGCATAAATGCTAAGGCCCTCTGCACTGGCAGGAAAAGAGATGTCAAGGCGAAGGACAAAAGATTGATTTTTCAAAGCAGGATATGTGAGCCTATACTTAGACCATACTATACACACACACACACACACACACACACACACACACACACACACACACACACACACACACAGAAATCTGTCTCCCTCCGTCTCTCCCTCCCTCCGTCTCTCCCTCCCTCCGTCTCTCCCTCCCTCCCTCTCTCCCTCTCTCCCTCTCTCCCTCTCTCCCTCTCTCCCTCTCTCCCTCTCTCCCTCTCTCCCTCTCTCCCCTCTCTCCCTCCCCCTTCTCTCCCCCCCCTCTCCCCTCTCCCTTCTCCATCCTCTCTTTCTCCCTCCCTTTCCCCTCTCTCTCCCCCTCCTTTTCTCTCTCTCATCTTCCCTTTCTCCCCTCCCCTCTCTCTCCCCTTCCCTCTCCTGTTCTCTCCCTCTCCCCTCCCTCTCTCTCTCTCTCCCATTCTTCCCCCACCCCTCTTTGTCTCTTCTGTTCTTCCTCTCTTTTTTCTCCCTCTCCCTTTTCTCTTTCTCTCTCCCCTTTCTTTCCCCCTCCCCCTCCCTCTCTCGCCCCCCACCACATTATTTACCATTCTCACAGGAGATTATAAAACGGGTGAAATAATTTGGGGAACAAAGTTAGTGATGGGGACCAATTTGGGGTTTCTTCTGATGATCCCAACCTAGCCTTGACTAATCTCTCCTTATGCAGAAAGCTCTGCCCTCTGGGGTCAGGATGATTGATTTTGGTGTCTTTTTTAGTGTCTTCATCATCCCCTCCTAGCTTCCCTGGCTTCCTTCAAGTCACAGCTAAAGTCTTTTCTACCAGAAGCCTTGCTGGGGTCTGCCTTAATGCCAGTGCCTTCCATCTCTGATTATCTCAAATTATCCTAGATATGTTTTCTATGTACATGGTTCTCTGCCTGCTGTCTCCTGCAACAGATAGTGAGCTCCTTAAGGACTAGGGCCATTTCTGCCTTTCTTGGTATCCCTATCACTTAGGCAGGCACTCTTAATAAATGCTTGTTAACTTAGCTTTAGTGTAAACCTTTTAACATCTGAGTGTTCTCTCCTCTGTGAACTAGCTGGATTCCATTATAAATGATCAGAGATTCAGAATAACTTGCTCCCATTACAGTAGGGCTTTATGACTCTTAGGTTCAATTCAGCAGGTATTAAGCACCTCTTGGGAATAGGCTCTGTGCTAGATACCAGGCATAGTAATAAAAAAAAAAGGAAATAATTTCTATCATCAGGAAACTTTCTTTTGGTGGAAACAACAGGCACATAGTTAAATAAATTTATTATATGTATATAAATTATTGGAGGGTGGGGCTTGGCATGGAGGGGATCAAGAAAGGCCTCTGGTTGGCAATGGTACTTGAATTGAGCCTTGAAGGAAGCTAACAATTCCAAGAAGTTGATGTGAGGAAGAAGTCAGTCCCAATGGGGATCAGTCTATACAGAATCACTGAGGCTGGTGGTAGAATGCTGTTTATGGGGAACAGTCGGTATCCCATGTGACTAGCATATAGAATTCAAGAAGGGGTGTCAGTAAGCCTGGAAAGGTAAGTTGGAACCAAGGAGTTTGTATTTCTCTCTAGAAGCAAGAGAGAGGCATGAGAAGCTTCTTGAGTGGGGATGTGACCTGGGCAATCCTGGACTGGAGCAATATCAATTGGCCTCTGTGTTAAGGATGGATTAGAGGGGGAGAGACTGGAGGTAGTAAGACTTCAGAGGAGACAGCTGTAATTGTCCAGGCACAGGGGACCAAAGCCCTAACCAGGCTGTAAGTGGAAAGAAGAGAGAGAGTTTGTAGAACTGACAAGACTTGGCAAATGGTGGGCAATGGAGAGTGAAGAGTCAAGGATGACCCTGGGGTGGTGAGCTTGGTGGAGGTGACTGGGGAAAAATGCTAGTGCCTGCTACAGAAAGAAGTGGAAAGAAGAAGGAATACAAAGTTTATTATCCCATTTTGCAGGTGAAGACTCTGAGGTTCCACTTAATTGGCTTGTTCTGGTTCACACAGCTAGTAAGTGAGAGTTGAAACTATAATCCAGATCTCTTAACTTCAGGTTCAGTGTGCTTTCTAGCAAACCAAACTGCCTGTGTCAGTTACTCCATAGTATTTGGCAGAGGATAAAGTGGCAGAAAATAACTAATTTCCATTGGGCTTGTAGTTTTCCTCTCATCAGCCCTGGGACACAAAGAATGCAAGTATTCTTGTTTTACAAAGAAGGAAACTGGGGTTCAGACACAATTTTCTGACATTCACATTCAGGGCTCTAAGATTTTCATTCTTCTCAATATGTCACCTTGCCTCTAAATGGAGTTCTGCCCTCAGCCATTATACCATGATAATCTTTAGTCATCAAACCGGTATACCAAGTAGGCCTTGCAAAGCTACACAATAGTGTGTCCAAACATTTTTGGTCCTTTTCTGCTCATTACAACATTTTCAAGGGTCTAGATTTGAAATGAACTTTGTGTAAAAGGTATGAAAAGGGATCACTTCTTTGCCTATAAGGATTAGAAAATACACAAGGCAACGTGGCCTAGTAGATGGAGGATTGATCTTGGACACAAGATGATCTGGGTTCAGGTTCTGCCTCTGACACTAACTGTGGG